CATTTTTATAGCAGATGGCAAGGTTATATTGTGCTTCAGGATATCCGTTCTCCGCCGATTTCAAATACCACTCAAATTCTTTTTGTTTATCTTTGATTGTTCCTTCTCCTTTTTTGTAACAGATAGCAAGATTATATTGTGCTTTAGGATCTCCAGACTCTGCCGATTTCAAATACCACTCAAATGATTTTTGTTCATCCTTGATTGTTCCTTCTCCATTTTTATAGCAGATGGCAAGGTTATATTGTGCTTCAGGATATCCGTTCTCCGCCGATTTCAAATACCACTCAAATGCTTTTTGTTCATCTTTGATTGTTCCTTTTCCATTTTGATAACAAAGAGCAAGATTATTTTGTGCGTTATAATTCCCAGAATCTGCCGATTTCAAATACCATTCAAATGCTTTTTGTTCATCTTTGATTGCTCCTTTTCCATTTTCATAACAGACAGCAAGATTATATTGTGCTCGAGGTATTCCAGATTCTGCTTCTTTAATGGACCATTTTAATGCCTTGTCATCGTATAATTTTCCAATTAAATATTGTGCTACAGCATCACCTTGAACTGCTGCATGTTGATAATATTTTAAGGCTTGATTATAATCTTTATCAACATTAATACCAAGGTGATAAATAAAGCCTAATATTTTTTCATATAGTATATTATCTCGTAAACTTTTCAAAAATTTTATTTTATTAAAGAGTATTAGAGCATTCAAAATAATTATAAGACGTTTTTCTAAATTTGCTTCATTATATTTGAAGCTATTATTAAAGAGAATCAATAAATCATCCATTGTAATTTCAGTTAATTTTTCTATGTCAATCTCTTGCTGGTTCAAGATTGGATTTTCGGTTATGTTTATTGTTGTGATAACTGAATTACTTTTTACTTGATCCGTATAAGTTGCCACGGATAAATTAGGGTTGTTAACATTTATATTTAAATTTGCATCTGTTGCTTGAATAGATACAGATAAAGGTGCTGAAGTCCGATCCATTCGATCATTTGCGGCGACATCGTTTATTCTGGATACTTTTTCTAATTTATCCTCTTCCATTATATCATCTTCGGTTGTCAATAGCTGTTGTGGATTCTCTTCGTAGTCAGTTGGTTGATTTCTCTTATTTTTTGCCAAATTATTATTCCCAAAAATCTCGATTTCTTTCATTTTGATCGCACTTTTCGAATCAGAGAAACTAGTACTAGTATTGTTAACACTTGTTGATGAAATAGGTGAAGACGAAGATATTGAAAGAGTGTCTATTTTTTCGATTTCTTTGATTGATTGTTTGTTAATTTCGGACATCTTGATATGTACATGTACATAAAAAGAATCATTTGTAGCAAACGTTACCGCTACTCTTATTGTTATCATTAAGGAAGTACCACAAATTACATGATTTGGTCAACGTTACACGTCTAGTGTTTCAAGCCGGAAACAAAATTCCGGCGCGAGTTGGAATTTTTTACATCGACTAGCCGGCTGAGTCGATGGTCATGTGAATTTCCTTATTTAGAATTTATTTATGTGC